AATATGAACATAAGTCTATTAATTTGAGTATATTAAAAAAAAAAACGACCGAATTTTGGAACCATGTAATGCAAAACGATCAACTTTGTGTAGCCTTAGATGTATGTATAACTAAATAACTATACAAATTGCCGATTAAATATATGCTTTGTTAAAACATAGATGTACAAATATATAATTAATTTGCAAATAAAAAAAGAAAAGAAAAACATTTTACTATCGATAGTCAGCCTTAATAATGTCATGTAAAGTTAATATTTTTTGATTTGCATTACTCGTCGACAAAAATTTTAAACGTAATTTAAAAGATCGATATTTACCTAATCAAAATATAAAGTTAAATAAAAAAATGCTACTGCAGTGACGATAAAGAACTTGCTATAATATTTAACCAAAAAAAAAAGACTTTTCAAAAAAGCTTGGATGTCATGGTGATGACCAACACCCCTGCACTTGGATTGCTAGGGTAGGGTATGATCGGTTACCCGATCATGCCTGGGATTTGCATATTGATTCCTTTGGAATCGATAACAAGCTTTTAGTTATAATACGTGAGTTAGTTTAGTGTTTGCTTTGTGAATAAACGCTCTTAGTATAAATAATAACTTAGGTGGAAGTGCCTGGTACGATACACCAGTGCAAAAAGCGAGTGCTCTGACTCTGTAGAATCGAGCCAAAGACCCATAGCTGTAAGGTTACACGACATTGGAAAACCACCAGAGGATTGAAAAGGATGTTTCCGATGGACAAATTAATTTTCTTGAAAACAATAAATTTACAGATCCTACAGAGATTGACTCTGGTGGGTTTGGAAGGATGTTAATTATGAATAGAAAGACAGTGAGTTAAGAGTTGCTCTTAAGCGTCTTAAAGTCGATACAAGTATAAATGAAGTAACTATTAAATATTTCATTAATGAGGTATTATTTGTTGTTATATTGAAACTTTAATTAATTACATGAATAATAAATTCTTATAATTCATATACTATACTTAGTTTAAACTAATACGAAGAGTCTCTAGTCATTCAAGCATTAATACGTTCAATGGGGTCACTAAAAGTAAACAAGAGATTTATAATTTTTTGATGTACTAAATAATAAATAGATATGCATATTTAATTTTGCAATATGCTGAGAACGGAACTTTGCGAAATACCTACAAGCAAGTTTTACAAGATAGCAATGGGTAGATAAAATATGAATTGTTAAGGAAATAACACTCGGACTTTTATTCTTACATAATAATATTATAATTCATAGAGACCTTGTTATCTAATTTTACCTGATTTTATATTAATACTTTAATAATTTAGCATTCGAAGAACGTCCTAATTCATCAAAACAACCAAAAATTGCAGATATTGAACTGTCGAAACAGATGAATGAAAAGTCTATGGCTTCATACCCAAACGTTTATGAAATGGTGACATATATCGATCCCAAACATAAGCGTGATAAGAAATTTGATGTCTAAAACCTTGGAGTAATCATTGGGAATTTCGAGTGGAAGACCACTGTTATCATCCTTTAGGTTGGGAGCTTCGCTTGCTATCCATATTTCAAAAGGAAATTGATAAGAACCTATAGGAGGAGATTCGACAGATTCAAAGAAAATACCGTATCAATTTGTGAACAATGGCAAATTGGTAAAACTTCGAATCGTGTTAAAAACGTGCACGATTACTCTTTTAATAATTTATTACTAGTGGGTCTCCTAGTTATAGTTTTAGTTGCTCATAACTATAATTAAATTACAACATCAGAAAATGGATTGGATTTTATATGACATATTAATGGATATGATTTCACTGTATTACTAGTAGTACAAGCTAAGGTTCAGGTTTCTGATTTTAAATTAAATTAGTAACGTTTTTATATCGAATAAGTGACCTATAAATCATATTTATTTTTATTTGTAAGCTTATTTATACTTTTACGATCGTAAGTTTTCTTTTTTTTTTTTTTTTTTTTTAAAAAAAACGGTTGCTTATTTATCTCTGATTAACTCTATTTCATTTTCTGATTTAAAATTTCAAACCAAAAAATAGAACTTTTCAATCTCCCATTTATTTTCAAAATAATTTAACTCTGAAATCCCCTAATAAAAATATTGTAATAAATTAACGTACCCAGGAGAAATTGACAATTCGAAAATTATATAAATAATCTGGCTTCAAATTCAGAAACAACTATAGAGAACCTTATTGTGAAAGTGTCTAGATTATGATGTCTCACAATCAGAATAAGTCAGCAAAAAATAAAGTTTTTATATCCGCATATCGATACTGTATTTATTTTTTTAAATGAATACTATGAATTTTTTTAAGGCAAAGAATAAATAGTTAACAATTTATGCGTTGGTAGCCTAATACAAATTTACATTTTCTTGACATAATGAATTGATTTTCAATAAAAGCAAGCTTACTAAATTTTATAACAGAATTGAGTGAGAAACACTTTTAATAGCTGAAAAGAACCTGCATGATAGAAGTTGGAGAAAAAAATATTTACTTAAAAGAAATATGCAAGCTACAGATTTGTGTCTCAAAAATGAATTGATTAAATAAGAAATAAATTTTTAATAATAAATTATTAAGATAAATCAAAAATCTCTAGTTTCATCTAAGGTCGATACTATTTTTTTTTTAAATTCATTCTAAGATAGTTTTACTTTTATACGAATAAATATTCTAGAAATAGTATGGAATAATTTGGAGTTTAAATAAGTGCAATTTAACTTTACATATATAAATCACGATCGTCATATGATAAAGGCAAAAGAGATGAAAATAAAAAAAAAACAATAACAGAGAAAAAAATAGAGAAAAAAAAGAGGAATAAGAAATAAAGTATATTTATTGATAGAGAGAAAAAAGCTTTTTTCGCATTATAGTGCGTAACACCATGCGAATATGAATCATTGTTACATAAGATCTATATTATAATTGTCGGGATTACTTAATTTTAATTTTTTACAAACATAATTACATGTATGGCATTCCAGGAAATATTCCTTAATTGCTTTTTCGCCAAAATTTGTTTTCCCAAACTTAAAGGGATTAACACAATGTATCGCTGGGTCAGTTAATATAAACCGATCATCAAGTTCGATCCCTTGTAAATCACAAACATATAAATATCCATCAGTGAATTCATATGTAAAATGAGCAAACGCTTCAAGAACAGGGCAGTACTTGACAATTATACCAATATTTGAATTAAACCGCACAAATCTCTCGATCTTTTGTTCTACGTTATAGCATTGTTTGCCGTCTTTTAGAAAGAAAACTTGAAGGAATTCTATCTTCTTCTTGATATTACACTTTTCAGCAACCGAATTGAATTTATCAGAAAGGAACTGGGCAATAGAGGATATTTCTACTGATTCGAGATAGCGTCTATCTATTTCATTATTTTTGTATTTTTTCATTACCATTTGACTATATGGCTGATTATTAACTCCGAGCGCATAATATACATCTTTTTCAGCACCAGATGCAAAAGGTTGCGAGGCAATTTTAAATGAAATATTATTTGATTTGCAGTTTTGCTTAATTATATATTTATCGTTCTTAATTTCATCTAAGAATCTAAGAGGTGTATAAGATGATAATGTTGCATTCTTAATAGTCAATTTGTACCAATTGGGTTCATTATTATTGTACCGCGGTAAGTATGTATTTTTACGATTTCTCGTTGATACAACTGTTTGTGAGATGGCCAAAAAAGTCTCTTCACGCAATATATTAGTCAAATGGTCTGGATTCTGCCCTGTAGCCTTGAGATCAAACATTTTGAAATCGCCAATTATTTTTCGAAATATATTGAGCATTTTATCGGTTTTTTCGGCAACTTTTCCAAAAAAATAATTAATTTTTTTTGACTTCATTTCACCTAATACATTTTCAGCAGATAATCTATTAGAATAACCATTCGGATAATTGTCTCTTGTTCCTGGCTCATTAAACCGAGCTCCGTGTGGTGGTGCGTAACCAATATGAATAAGGATACGAGTGTCATGTACCCATTTCATCTTTATGGCTTTATTGAGACCTCCTAGGACGTCTTCCGAAACATTGTCACCACCTTTAGCTCTCACACTTGTTACAAAATTTTCAAACTCTTTTTGAGAGTAGGTGAATTCTAAAATTTGCAGATTGTCATTATTGTTATAATCATGATAACCACAGAATCCGAACCAAATTTTAATTTTTGGATTTACTTTGTTCATAGATTTTATTAACTCCCTGATACTTTTTCTAGCTGCGTTAATATATTTTTCCATAGATCCAGTGCAGTCCAAAACGAAGCAAAGATCAACATTTAGTAAATTTTTAGTATTATTAATAACTTCGGCAGCGACTGCTGTTCGTGAAGATACCGTCTTATTTATCATAGTTAGATACTGTGGATTATTTAACCTCGTAGCATAATGATCAGACTCATAATTAGTAAAATCTCTAAAAGAAACATTTATTTCACAATCATTACTGTAGTTGAATATTATAAAGATTAATTCTTGAACTTTATATTAACGATGATAAAAATAACATTTAATTCACCTATCAGTCAATGTGGCAGTAAACATGAATTTTACTTTGGGTGTCTCTCCTTCTTTAGGCCACTTAAAGATATAACCAGGGGATTGCGGATTCGGAGTATGTCTCATTTTAAAAAAGTTCATCTTTTCTTCTTTGTTTTCAGGAAGTTTTTCTGTGCTGAGTTGAACGCAAAATTCATTTGTTTTTCCAAATTGTGCCTGAAATTATTAAAAGTTAAATTTATGTTTTGTGTTTAATTGTGATTTACATTTAATCTTTTTACCTTCCAGCTAACTAATAGATAATAAAACCGGTCAAGTTCAAAAGATGGTTTCGTAATATTGTAACAAATCATTCCCTCAGTATCGAGCATTCCTTCAAAGGCTCTGTCAAATATAAATAATTTTAAACTACAGTATATACATTTGACTTTAATAAAGTTTAGGTAAGCAGCTCTTACGATGTATATTTGCCTGAACTATTAGCAATTGACTCTGGAGCAGTAACACATTTACCAGTATAATAATATTGTATAAACTCGAGCGAACAATCAGCATGTTTATTATTGATTGATACTCTTATTTTTTGTTTGGTGCTAAATTTTTGCAATATAGCTAAAGTTGCGCTTATTGCAGCTGCTTCCATGGCTATATCATATAAAAAAAAAATTCAAATGATTAATTTAATGCTTATGTGTACAGTATACGGAGTTGAGTAATTTCTTGCGATATTTATTATGCATGCACCTGCGGCAGTTGCATACACAATGTTACGCATAAGCGTACCAAAAATAGCAATTATAATACTGTAAACGACAATTGTTTTTAATTCTACGTATTTTGTGTTCGTAAGTTATATTTATTTTCAAGATGTGAAAATATTAAATTCGTAAATAACTTTTTATGCCTTATGGTTCATATAATTCTGAAATTCTTTATTATCGTTTGGAGAGGAGCAGACCTGTCACGACCGTCCGTATTATAACTGTTTTTGGATCGACGATCTGCATAATTTTTTTCCCCGCGAGTCCTTTGATTACAGCTATCTATGTGGTATTCACGGACTCACGGGCTCTAAAAAAAAAAAACATGCAGATCGTCAATCCAACCAAATAAGTTCAGAATGAAAATTTTAATAAAAAATCCATAGGCTACACGTAGTCGTACTATTAAAATAGTTTTTTTATAGAAAAATTAAAAATTTTGCAGCTGTATTAACATTAGGGTTAGGGTTAGGTTGGAGTTAGGGTAGGTTAAATTGCGAGAGGACATTTTTACTTAGTTACACAACAGGGTTACCCTCGTGAAATTTTGAGTTATTGAAGAATTATTGAATATGGTTACATGTAGCCGCGGCTACAAATAAATAACTCCAAAATCATATTATATAATTTTTTTAAACAATATTGGTTTTCGGTTTTTAACTTGCACATTAAGCAACCAACTAAATTTCAAAGTCAGGTGATGTAAAGAAAACCTTATTGCTAAGGTTTACTTTTTTTTAACTAAAATTTTACTGACTGCATTATTAGATTTTTATAAGATCTAAGTTGGTTGAGTTGCATCAAAGTTAATAAGTCTTCAGCATGAGTAGAACTTTTGAAGTGTCAATATAATAAAATTAATATAATAGTAAATACAAATCTGGTTTGGATAGTTAAACTTATAGAAAGACATTAATATGATTGGTTAATTTTTGTAAAGCTTTTCATAATAATTTACTAATAGATAATAAATATCAATAGTTTATTTTGAATACTCGAATTGATAAATATTCTTTAAACTTACGTGCTAATCATAGTGAACAAAATAAATCGGCTGTAAATATGCTTATGTAATATTCATAAATTTAAGTACTTAAGATTTTAATACTCACCTAAATTATCATGAATAAAATTATAAATAGTAGATGTTCAAAAATTTGAATGGCTAATGCGCTTTATATCGATCTAAATAAAATTATAAAGAAATATTCATGAATTTTTTGAATACAGTATTCAAATTAATAAAGGCTCTTTATACTCACGTACTAATCATAGATAATAAAATTGATTTTAAATATTTATGTATAGCTTATTTAAATACGTGGATTAATAAGTGTTCTTTATGGTTGCGTACTAATTTTACTATGAACAAATGAAACTTCATAAAATTGGCAAAGTGAAATTTTCTGTATTTTTTTAGACGAATAAGTAATCCAGATCAGCCGAGCAGCAATAGCTATAGGCCAGTTGAGGGTGATTCTTATATTGAACAATCTCGGCCTCAAGTCTTTAACGTGTGAGGAGTAAACGTAAAGAAAAAATTATTTATATATCTGATACTATATAATTTATATTATATAATCGGAATTTACTTAGTATTTACAATGCAGGAGGTGCTCTCCTAATGCAAATCCGGATTACACTTGATGTACCCCGACGCACCAATCAGAGGTAGGGCGGCTGTTAAAAATCGAAAAAGACCTCTGCTCTTATCTACTAACATCACTACCAAAGCTGCCCTTACATACCACCAAATGCTAGGAGCCATTCGAGTAGGGGATCGAATTGAAACATTAGTATACGCATACTATTTTGGCACCCTGCTTGACACGTTAACAAAATGTCAAGTTAATTCTCTTAGGGAGATTATTTCCCACCATTATCTAACCACTGCCCTAAGGACGTATGCTATTTTTAAGCGACTCAGATGGAACAATTATATTGTACTACCTTCACCACCCTCACCAAAATTCGACGACTAACTAATACCGAGGTTTGGATCCTATTATACAGTAAGTAACAACTCGTGTTTCTCATTGATAAGGAGGGATGGATTGTGAAGGGCTCCCGAGTATCCTTGTTACTAATATTTTTTTTTTCTCTTCTGTTATATTTTAATTTAAATTATTTTTTTTCATTTATAGTTTCTTTTCTTGTAAAAACTTAACCGAGTTAGTATAGCCTCAAAAATGGTAATCGAACAGATTATTCTTACTCTATTTTGACATACTTTGAACATTTTGAATGTTTAGAATGTTCAGAATGTCGATATAGTGAACATAGTGAATTTAACGAACATTTTAAAATGTTCAAAATATTCAAAATGTTCGGAATATTCAGAATAGCTAAAATAGTGAATATTTGGATCATGAAAAGCCATAGATAAAAATAGCAAACCCAATACACTTATTAATAACGCGAAAGTTATAAAAGTGCTGACTTTGACCTCAATAAAAGAACGACACAGTTGACTTTCAAACTTCGAAAAGGTAATAGTAGAGGTATTGACTCCAGTAGTTTATACATTTATCCTTAAAATTCGTCCATAATAAATCGCTCCATTATACTTTTCTCTATCCCCATTAGTACTATAAAAACGTTATCGATCAAAGAAAGAGAAAGTAAAAGAATCTTATTTGAATTACCCACCATTATATAGAATACCTTGACTATACCCGTGATTAATTGTTATCATATAATTAGTATAACAATTGATTAATCGATCGGAAATTACTTGTGATATGCCTACCTGTGACGCCGGTTAGTATGTCGAGACATGATAATCGTAATCGACACCGATCACGTATCAATCATGCGATTTTGCACGTTGTGAGGGGGCAGAATCGACCCGGACTCTCAAAATATGGGCCTCACGGATATCAACTAAGCTAAAC